ATACCCAGTTGCTTGCATATCTTGTCAGTCACGATGCATGCTCCTGAATTTACCCAGAAGCTTCTAAATCTTCAGAAAGGGATCGAACACATCTCTATTCTCATATTGAACAGGCTTTTTTGCTTTCCATTTTTTCATCAGTAATTAATAATTATTAAAAAAATTATATCATTTTTTATTTTATAAGTGCAGGTGACACATTTCTCAATTAGAATATATTAAAAATAAAAAATTAATATTATAAAAAAAATACCTTTGAGTTTCTTAATCCCATTTATAAAATTTAAAAATTCCAACGAAAATTATAAAAAAATCATTAGTAATTAATTGAACTTTTTTTATAATATTATTGTTTTGTTATCGTACCTCTTTAAAAAAATTGCATGCAGTATAGTCAAAGATGTACGATTTTCATTTAAAGGTTGTTTGGTATCTTATTTCTTTATCTAGAGTTTTTTAAAATTTATTCCTAAAATCAGGTAATTTTGCATAATAAGATTTCACGTCAGCATAAATTTCCACTTCACTTTTTTTCTCTCATTTACCCTTTCGTTTCTCCCATGTATATATGCAAACAGGAGTGACTCTCTGTTGAATCGACTTGAGGAATATGAAAAAACCATTGCAAACTTACTGACAGAGTTAGATGCTTTTAGAAAAACAGAGGAAATGGTTGAAGGCCAAGTTGAAAAGCAGAGGTCGATAAATGAAAACTTTGATAAACAACTTTCCCTGACCAAAGTTGAACTAATTGAGGCTTGTCAAAGGTTTCCTTCTCAAGACATGGAATCAGAGAATAAAAATAACTGCCATGAAGGATTGGAGGCCACATGTCTTGAGTAAATAATACCATGGTCAATTTTGTTTGCTTTACTGAGAGTCTTATGCAGTGCTGACAGAAAAAGAAAATTAGTTTCCAACTGTAAATTCATATTATGCTGTTATATGTGCATAAGAAATTTTTTTTTTTTAAATAAAGGGTTGTTTAAGAATCAATATCTTAAGAAACTATAAAAGACAAGGTATGGGTATTGGGGAATTTATTTTTCTGAAAAATTAAGAGAGAAGTGAAAGCTTTATGTCTTTCTCATGTTTGCTTTATTTCTCCTGTAGACGGTGCGGATAGACTTGCGATGATGGTCTTTGTAACAAAGGCAAGATGTAAGGGAAAGGGGAGATCGGGTAGGGGAGGTTGTGATTTTTTACTCGTTTTGGGAGATTAAAAAAGCAAAATTTTTCATCTTCCCCTCCAAGAGATCTCTCCTGCAATCATCTTTTTCTTTAATTTAGTCTCTATATCATCTACTTAGCACAGGGAAAAAAAACCTTCACAATCCAAAAACACAACAAAGAAAGAGAGGTTGCTGAAGAATGGGAAAATATTTAAAAATTTAGTTTGAATCAAATGATGAGAAAATAAAAGAAAAAAGTACCTTGTGATTTGTTATGTATGTCTGACGTGAATCCCATGTACATCAAGTCTCTTGTTTTAAGAAGTTCAAAATTACCCTAATTTAGTAAATAAGTAAAAAAGTGCCAAGGCTTAGAAAAAAGTTTTTGCTTTTTAACTAGATCTGTACAAAAGGATAGATTTTTTTTTTTTGAGTTTGTATTTAATATATTGTTAATGCATAAATTTTACACACTATCAGTAAATTAAATAATAATAATTTATTAATGAGGTGAATATGATAATAATATCTCATTAATGAATAAATTATTTTAATTTATATACATTTATTTTAATGATTAATATTTATTCATTAATGAGTTATTATCATTTAATTTATCAATAATATATAAAATTTATACATTAACAGTGTATCAAATGTAAATTATTTTTAAATTTTTTTGATTACGATTAGGATTTGAATTCTAAATTGGTATAAAAGGATGAAACTCTTTCACTTTCACAATCCAATTTTGGAACCTTTCACTTCAGCTTATTACAACTTTGTTTAAGATATGATTAATTAATTTTAGAAGCCACACAAGTTGATTTAGTCGCCATAACCAATATTGCAACTAGGCACTACTTGGTTGACAGATTTGACCTGCCTTCGTTTGCTTACACTTTGCTTTCAAACCATCAGAGCTCACCAGCAAGTAGCATGTAACCATTATTTAAATATAGAATGAACGAATTTAATGTAATATGATTGATCTTCTATTTTCAAAGAATGAATGAATACCATCATAAGGATTCTTTTATAAAAAAATTCAAAGTCGAATTAATTATTTTAATCTTGTATCATAAGTTGTGCTTCTCAAAAATTTTCATTGATATAGTGTTGTGTCCAAACTATCTCGTAACGAGATAAATGAATTTAATCATTGAACCAATTTTTCATGAGTTAAATTTTGAGTGATTTATATAATTTCATAAAAATTAAAGAGAAAAGTGAAAAAAGATTTTGACTCGAAATCAAGATCTTTATATCTTCATAAAACCTCCTTAACTATTAGATAAAAAATGGAAGACAAAAATAATATATATATATGTTATTTTTTTCCTCAATAAAGGATAAATGAGTTATTCTACCATGTCCAAATTTGTTATCCATTTCGTACAATGTTTTCCTGTTTTAGCCTACAATTCTTGTTAAGATGCCTGAGCTCTAGCTGTAAAGTTATTTACTTTCCTTATGGATATGGTTAGCAGGTTTACATTTCAGGACCAACATGAATTTCATCTTCAAGACCGACATGATTCAGTTCCTGTTCATTGCATTATTAATGTCTTAAAACCGGCTTAATGATGGATCAATTTTTAACTTATTGGACGTAAAGGATGCAAGTTGGTCATGATTGTTGGCCGTTCATAACTCAATATGATTGCCTCAGATCTTTTCATTTCATTTTAATCTTTCATTTATTTCAAATCAGCATAACATAAGAAAATTATTTCATTATTATTATAATTATTCTCTTCCATCGGCGTATAATATCATCTTTGATTAAATTCGAAATCAAAATCAAAATCAAAACGGCGTTGAAACATCAAAAAGAATAATTTTATAATATAATAAAACCTTTGCTTTATTGTGTGTGTGTGTGTTTTTTTTTCTTTATTATTGTTAAATGCTAATCCAAGTGTTAACAATGTATTAGGCATAACTGGTGGAATATGTGAGCATTTTTGCATAAGCCTTTAACTATGCTTAGTGGGCACAAAATTAAAGTTTATTGATTAAACATTCAAAACTCTATCGGTGATTTTGATTAAACCATTACAATTCTTGTTGCTTAAATTTAATTTTACTTTAATTTCATTAAAAAAAAATAGTAGAAACTATTGTTATATCATCTATGTGAATGTGAACATGGCTTAGACCCATTTTTCATTATGGCATTTGCTTTTATAGTATGATAAGATATTATTATGTCTTATCAAAATCAATTTAAGTTTTTAATTAGATTGGTTAATTCTAACTTAATTCACTAAAATTATGCAAAAACAAAGATTTGATGCAATGGGATATAGATATGAGGTATAGATTTTGGAGTTTATTTTTTATCCAATGTCAGTAAAATTTGTTAATTTTACAAACGAAATTTAAATACCGACATATGTTTCATAATTTTTTTAATTATTTTTTAACACTTTCTAAATAATGTGTTATTTTTTAAAATTAATTTATAAAATTTAAAAATTTTATTAATAATGAATAAAATAATTTATCAGGATTTTATAAGCATGCGAGTGCTACAGGATTTAGCTTTTCTTTGTTAAATTCAATAATTGCATTGACGATGAACCAAGCTAAGCTTTTTTTTTTTTTTTTTCTTTTGTTTAGATTCAAATTCGTTACTAGCTTTCCTTTTTAGTATCATCCCCATTTAAGTAATGTTCAATTCTCAAACAATACATATTGTAGTGATAATTCTTTAGATCTTTTCAATTTATAATTCCAATCATGTTATCCATTTTGGTATCTTTCCAAATTTTTAGATCAATAATAATTACTCTATTCTTTCCTATTTGTTTGTTTTATATTGATTTTCATGGAGTTTAAGAAAAAAATTTAAATTTTAATGTATTTAATATTAAAATTCATTTTTTTATGAAATTAAAGTTTTATGATTTTTAATGTTAAAAAGTAAAAAAATCATAAAAATTAATTCTAAAATATAAAAAGTAAAAATTTTAAATATTAAAATATATATAATTTTAGGATATTTCAAAAAAAAAGAAAAAACAGAGGGAATACTATAAATGTTAAAGAAAAAATATCACGTCTATTAATTATTATTTTTAAAATTTTATTATCAAATTTAACTAGATAATATATATATTTTAAGTATAATAAAAATTAAAAATTAATTAAAAATATATAATAATCTTTTAATTTCGATTATAAAATTAAAAAATTTTATTGTTAATGGTTAAATCATGTTGATTTTATGTAAAAGATCCAACTTAAAAATCTTATAAAGAGTAAAATTTTCCAGTATCAAGCTAAAATCTATGCAGGGAAAATGAAAATGCTTCTCTTATATTCTATTTCTATTCAAGAGATTAATATGAAGAGTTCGGAAGATAAAATATATAAAAAGAAAAAAAAAAAAACCAGAGCGGTGGGAAAATGCCTTCAAACAGAGGGAAGAACAAAAATCCTGTCAGTCAATTGCCTACTTTTCTTTCTCCACTTGTTTGACTAGCAACAAAATCTGGACTGCAACCCAAAAAAAAAAAAAAAAAAAAAATGGGAAATTGCTGCTGCAGCCGAGTATACCATCCACGTACATGAGCAAGTGTACGACACGTGCACAAAAACCGCGTTGGAAAAATTATTCCTCTCTGACATGAGATATGTAGGTCGGAGAGAGTGATGAGCACTGTCCAGGTCACGAAAATGTCCGAAGGTATGGTGCATTCACCTGTGCAAATTGCTCGTATAATAATACAAAAATGTTATTATAATCCAAAAAGCAATAATTATATTTATTTTATTAATTATAAGAATACTTATTCTGTGAAACAAAGGAGCAATGATAAGAGACAACGAGGACAGAAAACAGTAAATCATGTCCTTTTACAATTTGTCTTTGTTATAGTATTTCCTATTTGATTACATCACTTTTTTCTTTTTTTTTTTTTCTAAAAATCTTACTGCAAAACTAATAGGGGCACCATCTGATGATTGTGAGTATATAAATTCTCTCTCTTCGTTAAGTCCTACATCAAAGCCAAAGCCAACCTAGATTTCTCTCTCTAGCATTTAGGCTGCCATGTTTTTAAGTTAGTTCTTTGCTCTACTTTGGAACACTGTTTTCAGGTGAAGTGATATCTGTCTTTGGTTAAGAGAGATAAAAACTTTTGTCTTTCTCTAAAGAATCAAGGGAAGTGTGCGTTGTGGGTTGAGAAATGTATGCAGAGACAGAGCTATTTTTCCCTTACATGCAGAACTTTGCTCAAGATTTTGAGCAGTTCGAAGAGTTCTGCAAAACCCAGAAGCCCAATGCTCCAATGGTACTGAATATCTCAATCTTTGTCTCTGATTTCTTTTTCTCACTTTCACTGATATGGTTTCTTTTGGATGATCTGCATTTGTTCGATTGGGTCTAGTTTGAGATGGGTTTTAGCTCTGATTGTCTATAGCTGAAGAATTGGGGTCTTTGATCTTTAATTAAGTGTTTACTTTGTTCTTTGTAGTGATTCTTTGTTTTTGTTGCTTTTAAAATGGAGCAAAAAATGGAAACAATTTTGTGCTTCGGCTAAAATTTCAAGGTTTTGTGTGATTTCATAGTGGAACTTCATTTTCCCATGTCAAAGATTTCGATTTCTAGGGAAATTTTTATTAATGTTCCCATTTAATGACTAAGAAGAACAGTGGAAAAAAATGTGTTTTGGAAGCTTCAGACTTCCTGTTTTATGCTTTTTGGGTCCTAGTAAAAGGGGGAAGTGGGGGACTTTAATTAGTTTATTCTCTTAAAACACTTTCTCAGTAACCAAACAAGGCTGAAATGTAAAAAAATTGAAAGTATTCTTTACATGCTGGATCAGGAAAAAGGAAAAAAAACAAAGAAAAGTTGGAATATAATTGGAAAATGATTTCCTTATCACGAGTTCCGTGTTCTTGAAGATTTCTTCCATTTTCTTCAACTATTTGGTGTGAACTGGTTATTTGGTTTTTTCACTTTTTAGCCCACTTTTATACAGAGATTAAAAAGAAAAAGTCAATTTGTTTTTAGTATAAAGGGGAAAAATGTTTGTGAAGTACAAGAGGTTCATATTGCGCTTTAGTTTAGTTGGTGTCAAAAGTGAAAAATAAATTTTGGAGAAAGTAGGAGAAACAAAAATTACCCTTGAAATGGTTGTTATAGATCTTTTTGTGTAAAAAGGGTGATTTTCTGATAAACATTTCTCCTGTTACTGAAAGAAAATTGTTGCCTGTGAGGCTTTGGAGTTTTTGTTATTTGTTGCAAAGTTCATCAAAATTTTGATTATGAGAGAGAGTGTGATTGCTATTAGTAATTTGTATGTCTTAAGATATGAACTTTTAGTATGTGCACACTGAACATAGATAGAAGCCACAATCAGTATTTATCTCTGGTTCGTTTTCCTTTTGGCCTATATAAACTCTAGTTTATGCGGGCAGAATTAGGTATTGTATAGCACAAATATGTTTAAGCTTCAGTGAGTTCTTAATAAAATGAAATTTAGATTGATTCCTTAAACAATCAAATATTTGAATTTCGTTGTATTCCTCAACCGGTTTTTGTGGATGGTGTAGAAGTAAGAGACAGAGGAGCGCATTTAAATTCTCATGATAAGCTAAGTTGGTTGCTGACCTTTGTGCTAGAATCTTGCTGTTTGAGTTTAATTTGTCTGATGTGGGGCAATTCATTTGAAAGACTGTATATAACAAGACCGTTTTATCAGAGAAAAAGAAAAGATGTAATGAAATTGAACTCATATTTTGGGGATAGTAAAAAATTGTATTGTTTTGTCTAGGGCTCTAGGCCAAAGCTTTTTGTAGAATACAGCTCCTGCTCTCTTTGGACAATGCAAATCAAGGTCTGTTTATGCCTGTATTAATCTTTAAGATTTTAATACTGAATTATTGTTTTAGCTTCTACGCCTTTTGTTTCATTCTGCAAAAGATCCTATTCTACAGTTAATAGTACTTGTTTCTTAACCTTCCTTTATCTGTTTTTGCCTAATGTAGAACAACCTGGTTCAGACCTCCACTATATCTGAATATGACCTGGGAGGAGAAGGTGATCTGTTCAAAGCTCCAGAACCCATCATTGAGGAACCAATCATGGACCTTGATCCCATGACTGCAGCCATCTCATTAATCTCGTGTGGTGAAGATGTCATTACTTCACAGGGACTTAAGGCTGCAGATATTGAATCAATTCAAAATGTGCAGCTTTTAGAGGCTCTCTATGAGTGTGAGAAGGATCTGATGGCACAAGCAGGAATAGAAACTCCACTGCCTGAGGTCCTGGATGTCAAAATTCCTGTTATGAAGACAGATGAAATCCAAAATCAAGAAAATGAAGTGTTCTGCGACATTCCATTCCAGAAAAGTGTCAGCTCAGGTTGTTTAAGCTCAATGGAATGGATGCAAGCGGCTGCAATCAAGCCTAATTTTCTGGATTTCCCTGGAATTGATTTTGGTTCTGTTTATGGAATGAGGAGAGCATTTAGTGAAGGAGATATAAAGGTCAGCCTTAATTATTTTTGCATTGTTTTCCACCTTTTTTCTTGTCCAGTGACTGATATTGAGGCTGTTAGCTTTCCTGTTGGCATTTGTGTGGAATACCATTTCCTTTCTTTATCCTATTTAAGACTTGATTTATTTAGCTGATGCACTAGATTTTACATTGTTAAGAGCCTCTTCCTTGAATTACCTGGACCTTGTCTAATTAGAGGTATCTTTCCACTCATGACTCTTCTGCTATTCAACTTTCACCTTCTGCTGTACTTTTACTGTTGGAACCCAAAAATTGACCTAGTATAAACCATTTGGGTTTAATTTGCTAACATGTTCTCTCCATTACAAAGACTTTAATAAATACTTGTAGAAGCTACTTACATACACAACAATGTTTATCCCTTATCAAAATCACACCAAGAAGCAATGTGGATCCTGCTTTACAGTTAAATTCCTACTGATATCTAAAATTCAAACATGTTCCTTCTTTTGTCTTTTAAAAAAGAAAAATCCAGTGTTTCATTTGTCATTACCCTCTTAAAATCCACCAGAATCAAGTGACTCAGCAAATTATAGTTGAGCACTGAGCATGTATTATATTTGTAACAAAGTCTAGCGACTGAGAAACTTTTAGATGTTTCTGGCGTTTCTACAGAATGGGTTGGGTCATTGATACTGAGTTTTTATGACAGACTCTTGGCAACGGTAATGTGAGCATTATCCAGCGACCACTAATTGTCAGCAGCTGTTCTACTGAAGATCGAAGGGAAAAGCTCTCTAGATACAGGAATAAGAAGACAAAAAGGAACTTTGGAAGGAAAATCAAGGTAAAAAATAAAAGTTGTTTCCATTCCAGTACATGTCATTTGCATTTGTTGCTTGGCTTTTAACATCTAAAAAGATGACTAACTGCCTTTGGCGTTTGGCAAGGAGTACGTGCACAGACTCCATGGTTATTTTTCATATTCCATTTCTGACCCTTTGTTAGCCAGTCAACCAAGGATTCGTGGAAGTTTTTCATATTTCTGTACTGAAACTGATGATACGGTTTTCTTTGTCCAGTATGCTTGCAGGAAGGCTCTTGCTGACAGTCAACCAAGGATTCGTGGAAGGTTTGCAAGGACTGATGAATATGACAACTCCAAGAGGCAATAATTGTTGACTAATCGTATGATTAGTAAGTAAAGCAGGAATGAAGTAGCTAGGACCAGTGAGGCAATGGAAAAAAAAAAAAGGAAAAGAGTTTTAGTGTAAACTTCCATATATAGCCTTTGTGGAAATCTTAGACAGGTAATGCTAAATAAACCAGAAGCCAGCTCCTGAGAAATTGCTCTACCTTTTTTGCTGTAATAACTTCCTTTATAACGGAAATGGCCAAGTAGTATGTACATAAGTGTTTGTTCAATAAAATGGCAGAGCAGAAATTTGTACTTGTTCATATATGTTTTATAAAATGATGATGTTTTCTCCATCTTGGTCCTCTCTGATCACATTTAGTAATTTCCCCATGTATCTGGTTTGTTATTGTGCAACAATCAAGGCTCATTTCTACTGAAGTTGCCCTTTCCTCAGAAAGGTTGATGATAAAGAATACCTATAATTGGTGTGCGCAAATGCTTCTATTCCATCACGAGCTCATCAGGCAATCTAATCAATTTCTTCATATTGGACTGCGGTGGCTGCCAATCTTATTTCATGAGCAGAAAGGTTTTCGATTTTTTCCATGATGGCACCAAAGCATATACGACCTGTCAAGGAAGTCCTTTTCTTTTTAATTAGGTGTGATGTGTCCATTCGGCTTCAATGCTGGAATGATTGCCGAAACTTTCAATAATTTGACATTTTTCAAAGAAGTATGATTACTTTGGGAGTTTAATGCCCACCACTCATTGCTGCCATAATTCTCACATGTGGACAAACACCGAGGAATTTCAACTGTGGTAATATCATTCTTAGTAGTCAGTTGAGCCAACAGTTCTTGTTGGGTAGAACGGAGAATACGGACGGGACGGGACAAGAAACAAAGAAATAAATCATTACATAGTTGGACTAGGACTGTGGTTGTAATGAAACAGTAAAAGTATAAAGTTGACAATATACCACTACTTTGCAGGTTGCCTGTCCCTAGTTACTCTGGCTTATGGAACATTAAGCTCACTAATTAGACATCCCCAGTTTCAGTAAATGGTAGCTGAGTTAAACGTTCATATGACGTCAAACGGATGTATCTACGCTTCTACTTCTTGTTCAGAACTTACATTTCACGGACACTAGTTCTAAAGTCCATCAGACGGCTAGAGTCGGTTATCAAAATTTCCCTGCAACTATTTCTGCATAATTTAGTATTTACGTTAAATATTGACAATTTATTTATTTATATTATATTTTATACAAAAATTACATATTATAATTTTTATGAAATATTTTTTTTATTTTCATTAAATTTATATATAATTTTTATTAAAATTTTAAATCAATCACATTTTTTTTTACCATTTTCACGTATTGTTTTAAATTGACTTAGTCTATATGCATGTTGCTTTGCCAGAGTCAAGAGGACAAATCAGAGAGGAGAATCCCATCTTACAAATTCCAGAGCTATCAGGAAAGTTTTATTCGGAAGAAAGAGTACTTTGCTGCCTCAGTCTATCTCCACAAACTCTGTCTTTCACCTGCTATATTTCTATGTTTTTTTTCCCTCTAAATGTTTTCAGTTACATTTGCTTCTAAAACAGTTTTAACATTTTAGGGCTTTCACCATCTCAATCCTCTTATGGTGTCGAGGCCCACATGCAGTTATTTTCTTTCGAACACTTCCAATTTTTTGAGACTGTTCACCAGGAATCAGCTCGAACAGGCATGTCCTAAGAAATCTTTTATGTGCACAAGCCACATAAAACATAAGTTCTGCAAATGTCTCAGGCACACTGAGTTTGCTCTTGATTAAAATGAGATACAAGGGAATAAAGTAAACCATGACCATGCCTTGAAAGTGCAAAGTTGGGAACTCATGCCAGTCAGCGGTTGTGGCCATCTTCTGACTAACCATGACAAGGGTTTGGCAGACATGAAATATAAGATTTCATCAGAATATTCCAAGACTCCACAAATATTGCAATAGTCATGGCTTCCGAACTGAAATTTTAAATTTACCTTGACCTAATAAATCAGACAATAGCCTTGATTAGGCAAGTTTGGACTTGAAAATAGATCAATGACCAACAAAAAAGAGGTCTGGTCATTTCTTAACCCAACTTTTGTGCGAGGATATTCTTTGCCTTTCTTAATACAAAAGAGATTTTGAAATAATAAAAAAATTACAAATGTTAAAATGTAAATCTCAAATTTATTAAATATTATTTTTTTAAAAAAAAATTTTTTAAATCAATTGAATGAAATTTTGGATGCAATATACTTGTCATTTGGAACAATGACTGCAACGTTGAATATACACAAAGTCGCTTCAATTTAGGCAGGTAATTAATGGACCGTGACAAAACAAGTTCAAACTATGTAGCCGAAAAAAAGCCCAAAACACCTTAGATCGTACATGTTTAATGTTTAATTACTTAGAAACTTTTATTAGTTCCGAAATAAAGAATTTTTTTTTTATTCAAAGGAATACAACATCCTATTATATGAAAAGGAGAAGAGGATAACTTGATTCGAATCCAAATTTTAATGTTTTTTTAAAAGTTTTTTTGTCACTAAATAAAAATGTGGAAGATCCAAAAAAATTGGGACATGTATTTTGTCCCCGATGAACTTTGGGTTTTCAATATAAATAAATGCATAAATTGATCAATCCCTCCGTTGAGAGCATCAACGCTAGTTTTCCCTTTCCAGGGCCTAGAAATTAGTAGAATGAAAATGCAATCTCAGAATAAACTATTCTCCGACAACTTCACCAGCTTCCCTCGGCAATCTGTTCAATCTGTCATTTTCCTCATTAATCTCATAATTTATTTTCTTTTAAAACTCTTCTTTCTCTGCTATCTTCTTCTATGATCATTCTATGTCACCATTGTTCTTCTTCAAAAGCATCATTCATATTGACTCCAAAGTCAAACTCCATATCTCTGAACTATCCATTGATTCGCGTGATCCGAGCTAAAACATCTCTCTCTCTCTCTCCGGTTTTTTGGCTATTGGGCACGGCCATGATCATACGAAAACCAATTTTCCAACATATCTCCCACACTACCAATCATGGTTTCCCTGGCTGACCAACCAGTGCAATCCATTTTTGACTCCAGCTTACTGCCACATCCAGATGCAGCGAAATCCATGTTTAGAATTAGATGTACAATCTCATTTCATCTGTTAGACTTATTTATTTATTTATTGCTTCATCTGTTGGACTTTGAGCAGAAGCAATTGACGATACAGGGGCCAAATTAAAAAAAAAAATTGTTTATTTCCATGATCCATCATCCCAAAATTATTACATCTTGATTAATCGTCTTCTTCAACCTCTGAATCATATATATATATATATATATATATATATATATATAAAATATGTTATTAAAAAAGACTTCTGAATCATTCATCAACAAAGAAAACACAGAAAAATATGGGTCAACCCCTTTTCTCTCTCCAAGGAAAATAGAAATTGTTAACTTCCATTGCGGTGCAAATTGGTCGAAAACAGAACATCTTCTCCAAACATGGATCAGAGTCTTTGTTGCATCATAGTAGTGACCCAACCTGACCAAACCCATAAATAAATATATTATCAATTTGTCGTATTGTTGGGTTAAAAATTTTTAATCCAATCACACTAACGTATTTATTGAAGAATATCATATTTTTGATATCATTTATTGGATTAAAAGATTTTAATTTAATCATACTAACGGAAGTAAAATCAAATAAACAAGAGACAATAATTTAACGTGATTTGATCTAACTGATTTATATCTACAAATGAGAAACAAGATCGATTAGTTATAAAAAATTACAAACTTATATCAAATTATCAATCTTATTCAACAATCTCATAAGACACTCTTAATCTCCTTTAATCTTATGAAATATTATCAATCCAAACAAATACAAATTCAAACTTTTATACATCCTTTCAATATAATCAAATATATACTTATATATTCTCATACATCATATTTATATAAACTTTCTCAATTTCTTTTAATTCACTCACAAATAAACATATACACCCTGGAGCTCCAATACTCCTATGCTAATATAAATCAATAAAAGAAGAATGAATCAATGAAATGTTTCTTTGGAACTTGAGTAAAGAGTAGACCTTTTTTTGGGGGGGGTTCTAGAATTTGAAAGCGAGAACTCCTTTCTTTATCTTTATTTGGTGTAACTACTTGAGCCGGATGAGAGGAAACTCTCATGTCCGATTTTGAGGGGGGGGGGGAGAGATCCTGTAGGGCCCTATCCTAATTTTGCTTTTGCTAGGCCCATCGCTAAAAAACCTACTTTCTTACGATTACGAGGTTCATTCGAATATGAAATTCAATCCTGGAAATACAGTATCCCACTTTTTTTTACTACCCAAGGTTTCGATACATTTCGAAATCGAGAAATTTCTACTGGAGCAGGTGCTATTCGAGAACAATTAACCGATCTAGATTTGCGAATTCTTATCGATTATTCGTTGGTCGAATGGAAAGAATTAGGAGGAAAAGGTTTCGCGAGTAAAGAATGAGATCTTAGAGCTCTAATATTTTTTATGAAGTGTTTATTTCATAAAATTTTATAATTTTTTTATTTTTTTTATATTTAATTTTATATAGACTTCACATATTTATAATAATATAAATATGTTCATTAATAATCATTTTTTTTAAAAATTTTTTTTTTTATAAGTCAAATTTATCTATTAAAATTTTTTTTTATAATTTTTTTTTACAAGTTAAATTTATATATTAAAAATTTTTTTTTTAATTTTTTTTTGTAAGTCTTTTTATTTATAAAATATATCTGATAAATCTTAAATAAATTTTAAATAAATCTCGAAATTTGAGTTATTATTCCAATAATATTCTCGAAAAAACATTGATAATTTCTGAATAAGCTGCTTGTTGGCTGTCATTCACTTTCAGGTGCTTGCCGACTTTCCTCTTGAAGCTGGGATTTGAAAATTAGTTAATAATCGGCGCAAGCTGAACATTATTGGACTCAGAGATCTATCTGCCCAAAATTCGTCCTCTCCGAAATATCAAAATACAGATTTGTACACCTTGAACAGACCAAACCATCACTTACGTTATCATTTGGAATCCCCTGTATCCAACCGGCAATCTCCGCCAAATTGTTTTAACTCAATACCTATTCAACTAATGAATTTAATCTTCACCAGATCCAGGGTTTTCAGCAATTCCAAAAGATTAAAGACTTGTTACTCTATTGAGAAGAATGTTGCTCTTACGATTGCTGGAGAAAAGAAAAGAACTTTGAAAAAGAGACAAGAAAAGCAACAGTATTTTCGAAACTCAAACAGTCAAAACGCCCATCTACCACGGACTCACGCAAACTGCCACTCCAAAAAAATGGTGCCAGAATTTATCAGTAATTTCTGATCAAATTGACCGGTCGTCGAACTGGGCTGCCTTCATTTTACCTTTTTTCCGGCTCTTCGTTTGCAGACAACTTTTTCAAACAAACCATACACCACGTCATCAACATTCTCCTGGTTACTTGCCGGTTCATGATAAAAAATTTCATGCATGAAAGCATCATTGACCGACGATTGCATGAGCCATATCATCTAATTAATTACACTATGCTAAATTAGTTGCATGAAATGGGTTAAAGCAACGATATCCGCAGCGTCTAACCTCCATCGTCGAATACCCAAAAAAACCCTTCAACCAAACGGTGGAATATTTCTCAGTTCAGAACCCGAGTTCACGCGGTACGGATGTTGATTAATTACAAAATAACCCAGAGAGGAAAAAAAAAGAAAACCTATCCAAACCAAAACTGGTGAGCATTAATCATTTAAGTCAACAGCAAGACTAAGCTCCCCTCCTAAATTCCTATGGTCCCCCAAATTCAAATTTTTGCAGACTTTATAACAAAAAACGAATTCCTGGGCTTCCAATAATTACAAATTTGATGCACCATGAAATATTGCAATGAATAACAAAACAACGTACAAATTATATTAAACTTCCAACTTTCTTGGAATCAATCTTCTGCTCAGAAAATCAAACAAAAAGGTTCCAACAAACTTAACATGAAATAAAAAGGTGTCTTTACTTGTTAGCCATATAACCAGACTGGTCTGTGATTCGCGAACAGAA